ATTTTTCTGACAAGTTGTCCCCTGCCTTGTTTATCAAACACAAATGTCTGTCGCAGGGCTCATACCTATGCTGTTTATTGGCTTTTAGTGGACCAGCTGCTTATAGTTTTGCATGATGTTACCTAATGTGGTGTCCTAACAAGCATTAGCAACATCAGAGAGACAGTTTCATTAGTCTGAGCTTTTGATACCACTTGCATCAACTCTAGGCATACTGTATACTGCTGATGCAAACAGAATGTGAATGTGAATTCTCCACCTTCTTTTTCAATTGCTGATCAATACATGATAACAGCAATCTGAGCTTCAGAGTGTTTTAGTGCTGCCGATCTTTCTTAAAACTCCACTCAAGTTTTCAGTCTACTTGCTTTCTGTTGGCTGTTTTGTTCTCTAAAATATACCATCAATAATTTATTGCAGATTTCCAATAATGCTGAATAATAATGTAGCAGTTATGGAAATGCACTCATTGGTGGCAAAACACTGTTGCTAGATAAATGCATTATCACAAGTACAATTGCAGTACATAACAAATTAATTCAGACTGATTCATTTATAAACACTAAAATGTTAACAGGTCTGATACAAGCATAGCTTTGATATATTGTTTACCACTGCCTTCAGTTATTTCAGCTGCAGATACGTAATAAATGAAATAATTTATTTCTAAGCTGTTGTGGGTACCTTATTCACAGCATACTATCTTTGCTGAATGCAACAGCTGAAATGTGCTTGATATAGCATACGTATGTTGTCTTCTTTTATATGTCTTATTTAATCAGATTTTGGATCTGGTGAAGGGGTTTTTTAATTTTATTCGCGATTAGATTTTTCATTTAAGAGTCTGCTCTTTAAAATTTAACCAGTGTAAGAGAAAACAAAAGTGTCTTTCTTAAATTCTAAGTTCTTTTTCTGGATGAAATATCTTTTTAAGTCAATAGCTAAGGGTAAATTACTTCACAAATGTAGGGATAACATCTTTATCTTTTATATCTGTAATTGAACCTTTCGTATAGTTTTGAATTATTTACCCACTAAGTCTTATGATAAAACATACATTTATTTCAGCAAATTTGCAGAAGGCTCAAATTTAATGTTATTGTCATACTAAGGGTTTTTTTTCCTTCTTTATAAATGGTTTGGTACAAGTTTTTGATGGTAAAATCATTGTAAATACTTTTTTATGACATGAATTAATGCTTCTTAGGGTGCTACAAAATTACCCTCATCATACAATATTATATACATATTACAGAAGTGGCTAATTTAAAATAAATATTGAATTGGATGCAGAGCAGATACTATAAAACTCTTCAAATTGTTTTGAATTCGTGCTTGTTTCCTAGATGCTCATGCTTATACTACGCGTGCAAACTCTTTTTACGTCTCAGAACACTCATAGTTTTCTCTGCGTATATGCTTTCTGATGCAGATATTTATGTATATAGCTGTTTATAGCTATGCACAAAGACCACAATAAGCAGCATTCCTTCATATCTCACAGTGTTCACAACTGTACTTTCAAATTCTATCGTATGCTATATGTTGAATACATAATGGTTCTTTATTCCTCGGCCTTCAGGTTTCCTGAATCTTTTGCTCTCTTTCTGCTGATCAATTCCCTTCCCATACCGTTGAGATTTTTGACCAGCCTCAGTCAAATTTAACAGACAGCTATTGGTAATATGTATTTTAAGCCTTCTGAAACTAGTTAGAGAAGAATACACCTTGATCAAAACTAAGAGGATGACTGCAGCACATCCAGTATCAGTCATCAGAAAATCTCCTTAAGAAGTTGACCTAGTGATATAAGACCCTGCTGATAACTTCTTAAGGATGGTTTTATCCTTCCCCCTAAGTCAGTAACCACTGTGTCAGGCTACGTTTGCCAGAAATGGAGTTGGAATGATTAGTATTTATCTGTGGTGGATGCCACATGGAAATGTTCTGCCGGATGTAGTAACAACAGTGAGCTTATCGGACTTAATTTTTCAGAAAAAGAAAACCAAACCAAAAAAAATCCTAAATCAGGTGGGTTTTTTACTCCCCATTATGATAAACAGGAGATGGTAGGGCTTATTCAGCATAAAAAGCAGACTAATGATCTAAAGAGACTGTGATGTGGGGAGTTGTTTTTATTTTAGTCTTGACATGAAATACTTGGAAGAGCAAAATACCCCACCAAGAAAAAAATACACAAAATGAGAATAAAAGCAATAAATTTCCATCTGACTAGCTTGTGTTTACTCAAATGCAAAAGTATCTAGCAATCACCAGTCATCACTAAGTCATAAATATTTTATTTTGTATAAATTTTTTTACTTTCATTTTTCGTCTTTTATTTTTTTTTTAACAGAATACTGCGCTTTCTTGTGCTTTGCTTCATTTCATCCTTTGTTTAAAATGCATCTGTTTGTGATATGACTGTCTTATGGAAAGATGTAGTCATTTATTAAAAAACAGTTTAATGTTACAATGCAGTGTTCCATCTCACTATGTAAGCGAGCTAAACTTTATTATTCTGTGATGTTTATGTTTTCTTTTGTCAAAATATTGAACATTGTATCATGCCTGATTTTAATAAAGATTGGGGAAGCCTGGCTGGATCAGAGGCATTGAGCCAGATGAGGAAGGCTTTTTTAATGACCAGACCATGACCTCATTTCACTGGCATAAGTGTAGATCAAAGTGGAAGATGCCTGTCCAGTGTGAAGTGTGTTTCTGGGCATGACAGCACTTCACATCAGAAAGACAGCTCAAGAATACGACAGTCAAAATTGCTTAATTATGTCCCAGCTTTGTAATTATTCATCCCTGCTTCTACAAAGAGTTCAGTTGTCATTTCTTGACATAATTATTTAAAACTGTACTCTTCTTTCATTTATAGGGATATGAATTGTACTTCCAACTGTTTCATCTTCAAAACTTGAGACGTAAAACAATGTGATTTGAGAAGACATTTTGAGAGTCCATATTTTTACGTTGTATATTATATAAATAAACAAAATGACATTATGATGTGTCAAAGCACAACATAATCTCATATTTTAAAGGTCTATATTAATGATCGTTTAATCTAGATGGTAAAAATCTGGATATATCCATTATATCTAGAGTGTGTTGCTATGACTAGATACTCACTGTTGTAGGTGTCTTTAAAAATAAATTTAATTGCCTAATACTGGCTCAGTGCACTTGCTTTTATAAAATACATGCACTTCCCAGTATTTAGCAACCCCTCTGCCCAACAACTATTTTTTAGCTTACTGCATTTTTAAGGTTAAATTTTTTTATAATTTTATTTAGAGTGCCAAAATCAAGCAGTATGCATTTGGTATCATGTAACAGTCTTGCAACTTATAGGACCAAGTCATCAGTGGATATCCATGGGTACACATCTGAGGAACTGACTTAATATTATGTGGATTTATGCTGCTTTCCTGCAATTTTACCAAGACCATCTTGTCTACTGGGTATAAGGAAACTGCACAACAAAAGATGGCAGTGTAGGTGTGTTAGACTTTTTTCCCCCATCAGATGCATTGTTTTCATCACAAGTTAGAGTTATAAAACCTGACATAGTATTTGTTTTCTGAAGAACTAAGGTGGAGACACTTAAGCAGAAAGGCAAGTCTAGTATTGCATTTCATGTAATGAGTGTATGCGATCACACTGTTACTTGGAGGGTAGAGGGAGATTATTTTGTTGTGATAGGAAGAGTAAATATTCAGGCAGTAAAAAATAACATGAACCAAAATCAGCATTGCATTCAGATCACTGTCAGTATTCTTGTGTTTGAGCTCATAGGAGAACCTCGTTATCAAAGTGACCAATGGTGATATATGCTTTTTCAAATTCTATTAAAGTTGAGATGAGGCATGAGGAGTGATTATAGTAATTTTTGTCCTTAACTGTTTAACACAAATCATATTTTTCTTAAATAGGTATATTCTGTTTCCTTCCAAGAATTTAGGCAAGGCATTTATTGCTACTGCATCTCATGGGTCTTTCCCCCCTCCACCCTAAATTAGGAAAATACAGTTGGTTTTAAAATTTATTTACAAAAGGTGACAGATAAACCTTTGAAGGACATCACCTTTGCCCACATTTTTTTTTCCTTTTACCAGCACCGTTGTGGCTTATGAACTTACAGCATTTGAAGCAGGTCCAGAGCAAAGGGCTTTTAAAACATGAAGAATCATTGTGTCAATTAACTGCTAGCTATTAAGATACTTCTTTGAGACACCTTCTACATAATAGGGTTTGTTATCATTGAGATGTCAAGGTTTCACATACTAAAATGCAACAATGTCGCAAATTTGAGATTCCAACCTAGACTGTGATGCACTAAATATTGAGTTCAAAGACATTGTAGCAATCATGCTACTATTTGGCACACTGAAGTATCCATTTTGCTTTTTGGAAAGTTTAAGTATTTTAAGCAAGAGTCTGTAACATTATTGGTTCATAATCCCCAAATGACTTATCAAAATTAGGAACAAAGAATGATTGGAAAAAATTACAGAATTTTTATTTCTATGTATGAACACATTGGCGGTTTGGAAGAAAACATTGCTGAGTAGGACCTAGCAGATACAGGAGTGGTACTTGCTAGAGCTAAGTTCAGTCATTTAAAAGTTTTTATTTTTAAAATCCCATTGTTCC